TTTTTTTTACTATTTGTCCGGGCCGGACCGCAGCGATGTCGGAGAGGGAGGATGTCTCCTTGCTGTTATTCAGAACCGGGTCCCGGCTGTCTCTTTTTCTGCATCCAAGCAGCGCCCGAGTCAGAGGGCATTCAACTTTCACCTCCCAGACGGGGACCACTGTCCTCGGCCCCCGCACACCTCGCCTCTGTGCCTGTGGGCTTCGGTTTCTAACCAGGGGGAAGCCCTCCTTCCCGGCTGGGAACATCGCTGGCGTGGTCGTCACCGACGGCGGGGGAGACGACCCGCTGTTCTGACGACATCGTCCGCGAATGCCTCTGCATTTACCCGCTCTCACCCGGGCCCACAACACGGACCCGTGTAAGAGAAGGGGGCTCTTTCTGCCGGATGACGATTAGTAATTGAACTGCTGCGGTCGACCTGTTTCGCCCACGGTGTGTGTTGGGAACCCTTTTCCACTCTCTGCGAAACTGCGATTTTCCAGCCCCCCCAACCCCAGACCAACTCCAAGAACCCCAGTTGTTCAGTTTATATCAACAGGTCTCTCTCTGTGTTGCAGGGATGGGGGTTCTGTTACAGCCTCTCTCTCTCTTTCTCCTCCTCCCCTGTCTCCACCTCTCTCTCTCTCCTTGTTGGTGCACACCGGCGCAGCATCGATATCTACCAACACACACACACGCGTTCATGCTGCTGTTTTCCCGGATCTTTCGGCAGACTGACTCCCCGCTGTGTATGTGTGTGTGTGGTTTTTTTATGTTGTTGTTTTGGTTTTAACGTACAGGACCAGCCGTGATGCGGATTTTACAGTGAGTTGAATCACGATCCCTGTGCGCCGGAGTCTTCCCCCACGTCGCCCGGGCAGCAGAAGGAACATCCGCCAGTCTGTCGCGGACGCGCGGGGCTGTGGGTAGCCGGAATGATCTTACAATAAATGAACACGCTTGCGGGCTCAGCGGAGGAGTAGGATAACTTGTGTCAGCGGACACGACGCCGCTGTATCGCCGTGCGCAGGCAGGCTGAAGGACCCGTCTCCAAACTGGTGAGTGTGAAACGGGAAGACTGGCCGAAAACTTTCCGCCGGCTCCCGGCGTGAATTCTGCTGCATCTTCGTGTGAGGTGTGCGCCAGGTAAGCTGTAGCTCTTTTTTGGGGGTTCTGTCTTAGTGTACGTGTAGCTGTCGTACGGCGTTAGAGATGTAGCCTTTACGGTTTATTGAAGATGTTTTTTTTTTCTTAAGACGAGCACATCTTGCCCTTTTTTTTAAATCAGTTCAAGTTATAATGCCGCAGGTAACGAAAGCTGAAAGTCGAAACTCTGGACGGAGCTGCGTGCTCTCTGCTCCTGACCTTTTCTGATCAGGTAGATATCACCGAAACGGTTTTTTTTTTGTTTCTTCTTTGTGTTTCGTTGAGTGCCTTGGGACGTCTGGCGAGGTTTTCCCGAACGCCTGAAATAATAACCGGTCTGGTTGTGAGATCTGGTAGCGTCCACCAAGTTCCCAAGAAACTAATTTTAAACTGCTCACGAAAACGGTCACACGAGCGGGTTTGCGCTTAAAGGAGATGCTGCAGTGAGGAGAAAAACAAAGTTCCTCTTGGCCAAGCTGATATTTGGTTATGTGTTTATCTGGACAAAGACCCAGCCCCAGGGCCGGGATGAGCTGGGCTACCGTCACCGGCCAGGCAGTGCCCTTTCTCTGGCTTTTTGGAATCAGGAAAAGCCGGGGAGAAGCCGAGATCAAGGCCCCGGGATCCGCGTTTCATCGATTCGCTTTCGGTCTGGTGAAAAGGTGTTATTTTGGGGAGGTAGAACAACTCCAAAGAGTCGGAGGGTTCCCGGGCGGGCGGTAAATGCGTGACACTGGTGGGGGGGGGTTTAATCAAAGTGGCCGGCCGGCCGGCGCCGTGGTCTTGTTGAACTGCGAGTGACGCTGGCGTGCGGCGCCGGCTTCCCCGCACGCCAGCTGCCGCAGTAACCGGGCGAATCGATTGCGTGTTGTTACCATCGAGGCATTTGCACGGCTTTTAAAGAGAGGAGAAGCGGCTACCCGGCGCACAAGCCCCCCCCCCGCGTTCATCTTCCTCGGGGTGCTGAGCGACACGTTAGTGAGTTTTGCGGGGCGAGGGTCTTGGCGGAGAGCGGGGTACGGCGCCCCTAACGCACGAGTTATTGACGGGCGAGTCTCTCTCCCTCCGGAGTGCGGGAACATGCGCACCGACGCGTCCAGCCTGCGCTGCAGCCCGTGAGGGGAGAAATTATATAACGCGCAAGCCAGGCTGAGCTGAGCTCCTGCGAAGGCTTAAGTGAGTCGAACCCGTCCGGATTTAAAGGTTAAATGGGTGTTCGTGTCCGGGTTTCGCCACATGCCCGGCACAGGACCGTGCAATACGACGGATCTTACAAACCTGAAAAATAGTATGCTAGCGCTTTATTGATTTTTCGATCTGGTACGGGAATGCATTCTAGGCAGGAAGCGGATTTTTTTTTTGGTGGTGGAGCAGCAGCCTTGACCTCGGACCTTGCGGAGAGTCTGCTCTTCCTGTGTGGAGCGGGAGGTTGGAGAAATACCGCACTCGGGGGCAGCTGACATCCTCCCCCCCAGCAGTTATCGGTTTTACACCTGTGGTCGCTCCGGGGGGGTAACTGTATAATTATTAACCGTGCAGAGAAATTAAATTCCAGCGCAGTGGTGTAGTCTTGGGGTGGGGGGGTGCCTGGAGAGTCCTGCACGTGGGCCTTCTGTAGGTAAGCTGAAAATCTGGGAGGGGTTGTTTCTTTCAGTAATGGGGCTCAGGACACGGGCAACATCTGCGGCTCCTTTGACCCTGGAACCCCAGGGGTTCCCAGCCCAGCTGCTGTGGGGCCGCACCTGGCTTTTATTGCGGCCAACCTTAATGACATAATTGGAGCCCTTAATCGTGCCATTAAGGTGCTTGATGTCGGATCAGTCAACAGTGTTTTCTGCCGCAGGTGTGGGGTGCTCAGACCTGCTCAGAGGTCGGAGATTTTAAACGACGTGAGGAAGACGACGGGTAAAAGGGCGACCTCCTGCACGATGAAGGAACTGCAAACCGAGCGCTCGCGCCGAGCCCCGAGCAGAGCTCGTTCAGTTCAGCTCGTCAGCCGCACGAGCCCAGTATTTGCATTTGTGCTCCAGTACCAAGGAAACACTAAAACTAAACACAGAACAGCAGCAGCAACAGCAAGTTAAATACTAGACAACTTTACAAAACCCCGGTGTGTGGCGGTGGTAGGGGCAGAGCTCAGTAATCTGCCGGCTTGTGGGAAGAAACAGTCTCCGAGTCCGTGCCTTTCTGCTCCTGGGACGCTTCCCAGAGGGCAGGGGGGGGGACAGCGAGGAGCCAGGAGGACTGGTGCCCTGAGCGATACTTCCAGCCCTCCCGAGACAGCGAGCTGTAAAGATGTCCACAAAGAGAGGGGAGCTGTACTGCAGGGATGAGAGCTAATGAGTGTGTGTGTGTGTGTGTG